AGATATTTTATTTTTTATATCAAAATATGTCAGATTAAGATATAAAATAACTCGAAAAATATTTAATAAAATACTTTATTATAGTATTTTGAAAAGGTCTCGACAAGGGCTACAAGAATATGCAATAAAAAATACGGGTTTCAATTTAAAAAATTCAATGTGACCTTGACAACGCCACCCAAGATCTAACTAAATAATATTCCTATCTTCTTTCCACCTTAGAACCAAACAACTTTTATCTAAAAAGTTTCCTTCTAAAACTTACAGGTTTCGAGATATTACATAGACCGTTAAGTACATAGAGTTATTCCTTACCAAAAATTGAGTCGAAAAATCCTCAATCATTTTTTTTTATAACGCTTAATAAAGGAGTTATTATTGAGTAAAGTCTGGCCAATCAGCGCTGATCTTTAGCCGGGCGCACGTCGCATGAGCCGCGAGCCTGATAGTGTGCGTGAGCGCTCCGCCGTTACAGCGGCGCGACGGCGTTTTTCCTTCGCGCATGCCGCTAGCATGCAATATTTTTACGCATCGTAATAATAAAAATAATTTTTCCTTGTACTAAAAATATCGTATTCATATAAAATATAAAATAACAAAAAATACTTAATGAAAAAATACTTCATTATAGTGTTTTGAAAAGGTCTCAAGAAGGAGCAATATATAAGAATATGCAATAAAAAATAAGGATTTCCATTACAAAAAATAAAGTTGATCTTGAAATAACCTTGAAAACCGTTACCAACAAACATTTCTATAACATCAACTTATGTTCCCCTTGAAATACTGCAACTTTTATTTGAAACATTTTTCTCTAGAAACAATATTTTTGGAGATAAAAATTTGTCGCGCTTTATTTTGTCCACCCTGTAAAAATACTGCAAGAAAAAATTATTTCTATTATTACGATACATAAGAATATTCTATGCTAGCAGCGGAGCGCTCACGCATACTACTAGGAGCGCGGCTCATTGCGCCCAGCTAAAAGTCGGCGCTGATTGGCCCGACTTTACTCAATAATAACTCCTTTATTACGCGTTATATAAAAAAATGGTACAGGACTTTTCTGTTCAGTTTACTGTGCTCTACCTACTCACGAGCGTTGTCAAGGGTGCTTTGGGACACCCTGTATATATAGGAAGGAGACGGATAGAAAATATTCTCAAAATATAAAACAAATTAGAAAATGTAAGATATGTTATGTTAAAAAAGAAAGATTGAATATTGATTGAACATGGGAATAAACATGTTATTATATTATATATTTTATTATACAGCTTTTTTTTGCATGTATCTGTATTAGAAACTTATATATTTATAGAGAATGTTCGCTATAGAAGCAGTTATAAAATTCAAGCGTATAAAATATAAAGCTCAATTATTCAACAAAAATTGTATATAAACAATTGAGACATTTGTTTTAAATTTATACTTATATTAAGTATACACAAGCATTTGAGCACTTAGTTAGTGCTACTCTTTTAAAGCTAATGTTCAGTATAAAGCCAATTCTTTTTACATTTTTTGTACATTATTTAACTATAATATTTAACTAAAATATCTTAGTTAATATTATTTTTAAGTGTCGACTTATTCACGTCGCAAATTCTCGAGTCGAGCTTGTAAATCCGCGTCAGCGTCCGCAAGATTGCCTCCTTCCTCATTGCCTGCTGCAGTAGCAATTGGCTGCTTCGAACCAGCTACACTTAGTGATCCAGATGCTTGCGGTAGTCCAGAGAGTTGATCTGTCAACTGTAGACCTAATTCGTCCAATACCTGGGCAACTATGGCATCACTGTAAAAATAAGATTAATAGATATATCACTTTTTAATAATATAATAAATATTACCTATAAATAATTCTTAATCTACAATTAATTGATAAATGTTCAATAATTCTTTATTATGTGACAATTTAGACACAAGGAATATTTATGTATAATAAAATCTGTGATTAATAACCTTTCTTCTTCATCTCCTTCATCCTCCATTGCATCATCTATTGCATCATTCATTATTTCTTCCTTCATATCCATAATCTCCGATTGCTTTTCAAATTCTTGTAATATTTTTTGTATTTGAGGTAAGTTTAATTGTCTGTAAAAATAAAATAAAAATTGCAGATCAGATTATATGTAATAATATTGGGAATATAAAAATAGTGTATGTGTATGTGTAATAAATACTTTAATAATGTTATATAAATATAAACAAATTATATAAGTGATACAAAATAAATAATGTGATAAAAATATATGACACACATGTTGATACATTGGTATTTGGTAAATGATATACTCACTTATTCATATTTTGCATCGCTTTAGTCACCCCTTTCATAGCTTGTGCCATTGTATTTTGAGAACGTAAGGTTTGTATTTTTAGGGACACTGCTTGAATATTTGCTTTCATCAGCATAAACTTTTTTACATAACGCCTTGTCCTAACTAGATCTTTAGCCATAATTTTCACAGCATCCTACAATTTGAAAAAAAATCAAAATGATATTAAATAATTATATAACAAAATAAAAGTTAGATTACCATTTGTCCATCCTTTGCGAGTTTCTTTATATCAGCTATAATTTTTTTTTCCTGTTGTTCCATTCTTACTTTTTCTCTGTCTAAATCTCGCATTGCTTTGTTCAACGCTCTTTGGTTCTTTCTGAGCATTTCCTCAGGAGTGATACGCTTGCCAAATAACCACTCCATGATCATGAAATGCTATAACAAATTGTTCATTTTAAATCAATATAATAAAAATGTAAATACACTAAATCATATACATTAAAAGAAAAATACAAAATTAATAATAGAAGATAGATATATACATGAAGAAATAAAATATCTTAGAAGATGCACTTTAATTTATACTAAAATTACAACACATATAGTTGTAAATGTATTACCATATGCTGATTATTCGCACTGTATCCTAAAGCCTTTTTATTATTTGATGATTTTTATTATCACTTGATTCATATATAATATAGCACATATATTTTTTAATTTCCTAAGAATTTCGAATTTTTTTTTGGTGTAATGTTTCCAATCTAAAATATTATCCCGCACAAAATAACTTCAAATATTTGAAATTAGGTTATATGTAATTTATGAGTTACTTTAAAATTACATATGAAGATATTTGAGATTACATTCTTTGCAGTTTTTCGTCAAAAAAATTTATCAATATTTTTTTCGCTTTATTTAATATATGTATTACATATTGTTAAATAATTTTTTAGTCAAGGATGCGCATGTAAATGTCAAATCCATAAAACAACAAAACCTGTGTAATTTTACCAGGTATTTCGTTGATGTATAGATCTTCACAGGATATCGGGATGATATCAAATGATATTTGATGATATTATAAGCACACAACCAGTTTTCTTTCGACAGATCGTGCAAGATAACTATAAACATAGAGTCTGTTCTTTATAGCTGGGGGCACAGATATCTATACTACTACTAGATCGCTAACTTCGTCAAAACAGCTGTGGCTTGTGGCCGGCCGGATTTCCGGATTCGGCCATGACACCTTACAACAAAATGGCGGCGGTGCATGTGTAATCTTTCCAGAATTTTCACAATTACAAATTCACAATTCAAAAAATAAATTTAAATTATGAAAAATTAGAAAATAAATAAAATAAAATTCAATAAAGATAAATAGATAAATTAATTATAAGCAATAATAATTTATAATAAGGTAAATTTAAATTCACAATTTAAATATCGGGTATCACGTACGCACAAACACTAACACACGTCGGGTATCACATACACGCACTACACACGCATCGCCGCCATTTTATTGTAAGGTGTCATGGCCGAAACCGGAAATCCGGCTGGCCACAGCTTTTCATATGTCAAAGCCCGAAGTTAGCGATCTAGGTTTAGTATAGACATCTGTGGCTGGGGGTCGATTGTGTATCTTTGAAACAAAGTGAAAATTACAAAAGTGAACAGATTTACTAGATTTCGACAAATGACATCGGGTGCGTTCCACTTAACATTCGCAATGCTCGCGTTGCCTCTTAGGCCGTTCCACCTAGCGCCCGCGAGCGTTTAGGATTCGCCATAGTGAGCAACTTCAGATTGTTCAAATGACGCTCACAACGCTCGCACTGAAGAGGTGGGTCGGCGTGAGCGTTTACCCACAATGCATTGTTTTGCGCGCTTCGTTGAACAGTAAAGAGTTAAGTTAAGTTAGGTTAGGTTAGGTTAGGTTAGGTTAGGTTAGGTTAGGATAATTATTGTTAATTATAAAACTGTGATCAACTGTGATTTTTACAAAACACGTTAAAATGGAGAGAATTTCTTTATACGATAAAGATAATGATAAAATGTATGAGGAGGCTTCCATTCATACTGGTGACGAGTCAAGACTCATCGCTGAGCGGCTACGGGCGCCAATTTTCAATCGTTATGATTTGGACCGCTCTGGAGACGTGCTGGGGATTTCGTCTCTCCGTGGCAATCGGCACTGCATCCATGGAGCGAGATTCCAACATCGCTCTGGAGTCGTATGTACTGTGTTAGAGTGGCGTAAGGTGCGAGGTCTGAATAGCTCAGTGGTAAGAGCAGTTGCCCGGAAAGCGAAAGACTCGGGTTCGATTCCCGATTCAGCCACTTGTACCTCGCATATTTTTTCAGACCCGCAAATGTTGTTTTCTAACAATTATTTGTCGGGCTGAGGAAGTGTGTAAACGCCCTACACAGATACGACAGTGCCGCTGCCACGGAAGAGATGGATGCTTGGTTCGTGCCTCCTCCCGCCTTAAATCCCCCCCTCGCTTCACTTAAAATGTAATGTTATCCTCTGAAGATGCACGTCGTGCTGCTGCAGGTAAGATCCCAGTAAGCAATTTGATAACAAATTGTTGCCAAATTGGCATCAAATTCGCTCAAAACTTGGTAACAAATCCAGTGCCATCTGTGTCCGCATTAAGCTTGTGTTTTGGTGACAAAGCTTGCTGATATAACGTGACAGCAAATTGACGGCAAAAACCGAGCAAGATCTGCGCAGGACAATCTGACAGCAGATTGTCAGCAAAAACCGAACAAATTCTGCAGCTTTTGGCCATTCATATAAAATAGTATATTTAAATGGATTTAAAGTCTCAACCTAAGTAACAAAATGATGATAAGTTTTAGTCATAAAATGACCATTAGATAATTAAACATTATATAAAATCATATATTAATGTGTTAAAACATATAGATAAATTTAAATAATTTAATTTATAAAATTAAAGATCTTTGCGTATAAATCCCTAAAGACCTCTTCCTTAGCGGCTAGAGGCACAACAACATTATCAGTTTACATTATTGTAATTTATGTAGCGTTATATATGTATACTGTTGCGTGCCTGCGGGTCGTCTAAGGCGGTTATTCATGAATCTGCTGTATTCGTCTCCGGGAGAACGTTGCTAAGCGTTGTTGTTAAACAACGGCGGACATCTTGGGAGAGATCGGCCATCTTGAGTCTCGCGATCGGATGTTTTCCGGACGCCATGTTAGATTTGGTCCTGTGCTGTCGTGCCGTGAGGACGTTTCCTCCGACGGCTGGCTATCCGCGACTAATTCGAGTTGTCTTATTGTACAATATTCTCCTTTACGTGTTCTTGTTATTAAAGTTCTTTTACTTACAAGTGCGTATTCATTTCAGGCGTGAGTGAGCGCGAGAGTGAGAGTGAAACCATCAGGGAGCGCAACATTTTGGGGGCTCATCCGGGATTGAAATCGACACTGAAATAAACAATGAGTACGGTACATTCACCAAGGAGAACCCGAGCGAGGGCGGAGACACCATCTACAGATGGCGAGGGCGGAGACACCACCTACAGACGATGTGAGGTCTGCGCCGGAAACAGCATCGCTTGGAACAATACTTGAGGAGATGCGAAAGATGCGTGAGGAGCAAGCACGGAGGGAGACGGAGCTCACGGCGAGGCTGCGGCAATTAGAAGATGAACTCTTGCGACAAGGAAACGAGCTAAGTCCCTCAATTTTAAGAGCCGGGAATTCGCAGGGCGGAAACACGGGAGACGCGGGGGAGGTTAACATGCGCGCGGAGTTGGGAATAAAATTGAAACCCGATACATTTGATGGTAGAGTACCGATGCGGGAGTTTCTCTCTCAATTTTCTCTCATTGCGCGAGCGAACAAGTGGGATGATGCAACACAATCTATGGTGTTAGCTGCTAGTTTGCGGGGGAAAGTGCGTACGGTATTAGAAACGATCGAAAATATAGAAAATTTAAATTT